GAATTTCTGCCCACTGAAAATAATAAAAAATAAATAAAAAATATATTTTTATATTACTTTTCAATGAATGCAGTATTTTGTTAAAATAGTCAATGCCTTTAAAATCCAATTTTTGAAGCCAGATTAATGCCATCTGGTGGGAGTAAAATAAGAAAAACATCTGCAATTCCATGGTTCAGCCCATAGATTCCTATATAGCTCTATATAAAAGGCCTATAAATTCTCTAATTGCTTTTAGACATAAATACTTATTAAGTTGTGGGTTTGGATGTATATTTAGACATTCTCAAAGACAACTTTTTGTAAAGGTTTAGATTTATTTTTTTTTTTCTTTGGTTTGAAATGTTGATTTGAAGCGTCAGTTTTTGAATTGTTACTACAGTCAAACCTGAACACCGAGAAAGCATTTTGTTACACAAAACATTAAAATTCTATAAAAATGTAACAGAATGTTTCATCAGAGCTTAATCCTTCTGGGTTTGATCTGATTTCAACCTCTTATTTCAGTTTTCTGACTCGTTTTGGCTATATGTTAATAGCCATACCAATTCATTTGAGTGTGTATGTTTGTGTGTGTATCCGTGAGTGTGTGTTGTGTGAGTGAGTGTGTTTGTGCGAGTGTGTCTGATTTGTGCTCTTGATGTTTTAGAGTGTAACCCCTTCCCAGGGTGTCTGCGGGTCCTTAAAAAGTCTTAAAATGTCTTAACGTTTTCCTAATATAAGGCCTTAAAATGTCTTAAATTCTGATTCGATGGGTCTTAAATTTTTTTGGTCTCATTACCGCTAAAATGTCTTCAGTCTGATGGACCTAATGACTGTTTATAATCATTGGACAGACCGACCCGCAGTAAGTTACTGCGTCATCAGAGAGAGTTGCAGTAAGTTCGCAGAATACAGAACGCAAGCTCGCGCTGAGGCTCACTCTGTTTGTCTCGAGACTTCAGAACACAAATGTTTAGTTTATTCATAACATGATATAGTTAAATAACACCATGACAAGTGAGCTATTTTGCTCAATATTCTCACGACACAAAAAAAACCCCCGTTCAAAACACCTACAGAGTGCACGCATTACCTGAAGTCTAGTGCGTGTGCGCATTTACAGTGCGCTCTTTTATGGCATGATTTGGTCTATTAAAATACATTCAGAATGATCACAAATTCAAGACATGGGGGCAGAAAATGTGTATATTTATACCACTTCACATAGTTAAGTTCACACGGAAGAGTGCCTTTTTTTTCTTCAAACATACAAATGTTATTTTTTTTTTACAACAGTTCAATAAACTATAAGTTTTAAGAGACTTAAGTTTTAGACGCCATATTGCCTGTTTTTGCACAATTTCGCCAACAAAAACAATTCCAAACAAAGCCACAGTGCTGTTTTGCGTCTCTGAGCAATATGACTGATTCGTTCCCGAATGAATCAACTGTTTAAATGATTTGGTTCAGTCGCAATGACTCGCTTAACAGTGACTTACTGCCACCTACTTGCGGTTTTAATTTTACATTTAAAGTATCATTTCATTTTTTAAATGATTTCAAATATCAGTATTCAATGTTTTATGTTTAATATATCAAAACATTATTTATGCATTTGTAACTGCAGGTTAAATGCATTCATGTCCTGTATTAATCGGTGTGTAAATACATCTAAATGCCACTTTAGGTGCAGCTTATGCCTGGATTGCAAAGATGAATTTTGTTGATACTGATTTAATTTGCTTGGTAACAGCCCAAATGTCTTATTCTTATTCACTGATTAAATGTAAGAATTTGACTCAAAAGATGATGCACACTTATAGAAAAATGGCTTTATAAAGGTAAAATGCCCATAAAAGGTCAAATCTATTTAAACTTATTGGAAAAGCTTAATTTCTATCTGACCACCACACAGAATATGAAAAACATACCAGCATGATAACACACTCAATCAGTTGAATGAATGACTCAATGACTCACTCATTAAGTTACTTACCGTCACTTACTGGTAGTTCAGTTGAGAAGTATGTTGAAAAGTATGGATTTTTCCCCTCAACATTTATTATTTGTATACTCATAAATGCATTAAAACATTAATCTCATAACATTATTTATTGCAGTTGTAATTATTGTTATTTGCAGTGTAAATTATTTAATCTGACTGGTAGCAGCCCTATAGTGTATATTGAATTTATTGATAAATTGTAATAATTTGACATGTAAGATTATGCATACATCTAAAAAGGTTAAAAATAGGCATTTGTAAAGGTAAATATGCAGATTTAAGTATGTAAAAGCTGATAGAACACTGATGAAAATATTGCTTCAGAATAAATTTACCCCACCAAAAATCTCAGGGATGCAGTTATTTTGCGGGGATATTTTGTATGGAATATTGTCTGCTGATATGAAAAGTTCACTGTATATCGTAGTAATAAATATAATTTATTACAGCAATGATATTTTGTTTTCTTTTTAATTTATACACATTAAATATTACATATATGTATGTAATAAAAAGTGTATTTCCATTACAGGTTTAGGGCTTAAATTTCATATAAGGTGGTATTAAAAGAGGTCTTAAAGGGGTCCTATTATGCTCTTTTACAAAGTCTTGACTTTGTTTTGGAGGTGTACTAGAACAGGCTCTCATACTAGGTTGTTCGAAAAACACATTATTTGTCACATATTTTACATTATTACAACACCTCTCTCCCCAGTCTGGCATGAACGGCTCGAATAGTTCCTGTATCAAATGAAGGCCCGCCTTCTGAAATATGAAATGTGCTGTGATTGGTTAGCTGGGCCAGTGTGTGTTGTGATTGGCACAATCGGATGATTGTAACCACTCTAATTTCGTCTGCCTTGGGAAAGTAGTGATGACACTCGCTGCCTTCTCTAGTGCAGCTCAACCAGGTCTCGTCCCATTCGTCGATATTTGTGATATCACAAATCCCGGAAAATGTGCGTTGTAGTCCAAACGAGTCGTTCGTTGTAGTTTTTGAAAAGTGATTTCTGTTAAATAAAATATCTCCTTTTGAATTGGACTTTGAGCTTTGTAACTTTGCAGATCTTTTTTATGCTCAAACAGCAACATTACCGACTAACTAAAGTTGAAAAAGTGAAAAAGCATAATAGGACCCCTTTAAAAAGTCTTAAATTTAACTTGTTCATATCTGCAGAAACCACCGAAATACCACCGAACCCCCAACTGCTCCCCGGGCGCCGCAGCATAAATGGCTGCCCACTGTGTGTGTTCACTGCTGTGTGTGTGTGTGCACTTTGGATGGGTAAATGCAGAGCACTAATTCTGAGTATGGGTCACCATACTTGGCCACATGTCACTTCACCAGTTCATAGGTGTGTGTGTGAGTGGATGTGTTGGTTTTGCACTCTTGATGTTTTAGAGTTTCACCCTGTCATTGCTTTGTACTTTTTTCTGCATTGTGTCAGATTTGTAGATTGTACACACAAAAATTCTCAGAATTTTTGTGTTTTTGTCGATTTCACATTAATTTCCTATGGTCGGTCATTTTTGACCGAAGACCTCAAGTGTGACTATTTTTTTTACGACCACTTAGTCTGCTCGAATCATGCCCTCAATTTGTTTGTGTGTTCACATTACAGTCACCAAGTTTCGTACCATTCCGATGAAGCTCTGATTTTTTTAAAATTCAAAACAATTACAATTTTGGGGTCAAAAGTGACTGAAGAGCACCAGAGGGTATGCATTTTTCCGCTTTTGATGTGTCATAATTGGGATTTTTCATTCATTCATTTATTTAAAAAAAAAAACTGATACATTTATAGTTTACATAGATATGGCGACAGAATAGAAGCTGTCACAAAGGTCCACCCACTTGGAGATTTCTGGCTTCACCACTGGTTCATATAAAATCTTTGATATTGTTCTTTTGACTTTTCAAATGAAAACAGAGGTTTTGGAACCATTTTACAACAAATACATTTCTATTGTATAGATTTATAATGATTTAGAATGAATATTGTAAAAAGGCTATAACTGTATCTCTTAGCCTTAGTGAAAGGTTTATATTAGGTTATAGAAAAATGCATTAAAATATATTTTGTAATCATGCAGTACCATGAAGCATTTTATAGTTCCAACATATAAAACATTTTTTAGTTACGTCATATTACCTTTTTTCTTCTTCTGGAAATTGCACTTCAGATTACTTGCGTCAAACAGAGCCACTGTTGCGTAATGTTATTGACTTGGAGCCCTGTGTGTTTGTGCATTGTGTTTCAAGTGTATTAGCGTTTGAGTGACAAGACTCATAGTTTACATAGTGTCTGACTGTCAGCTGGTTTTATTCTACGTCTGCAAGTCAAACCTATAAACAGCGTCTCTTCAAACTCTGTGCCAGACATAAGTCTTTTCACTAGCTAGTGCAGATATTATGCTTTATTTGAGTAGCATACAGTGACCTGCTGTTTGGATGAATGTATTTTTGCTCTGTTTAACATTCACATAGAAAAATTCTTTGGTGACCATGTCGGTACTTGCTTTAGCTTCATCTTAATAATCAACCTTTGTGACATTAGATGTTTTCCTGATAAACAAGGACCTGACTGGGTTTTATACACAATACAGGCAATAAAGCTAATGGTTAAAAATGCATTTCTAGTCAAATATGATTGTAACTTTTATTACAGCTGAAATCTATCTATCTATCATCTAATCTAGCCTGCCCATCTAAAACTAATATCAAATCAGCATGTCTCAGTCAATATCTACACTGCAGCTATTTAGCACATGTGGTGAGGTACATAAAGTTTTATGGGGCCCCAGAGGAGGGAAATGAACGCTGGTCTCTCTTCTTTTTTTGTGTGTGTGTGTGGATGACCCCTATGAGGAGGTGCCACTGCTCACAAAATGGTTTAAAAACCCAGTGGACAACTTGTGCGTCTTCTGTCTATGAGCTGTTTCCTGTGCACATTAGGTTGGGTTTTCTTTGTCTTTCTGTTTTCCCTTATTTTCCCCTCTAGGTATATCTACAATGTTTCGATGGATGCTTCTAAGGATGATGTTATTGCTCTGGATGACAAGCGTAACACTTCAGGGCGGCACAGGTAAGCATGCTGATAAGAAAACAATGCTCATAAATCTGTTTGGGGATTTGTATGTAGTACTTTTTAAGCGCATGCTGTTGCTGAACCTTCCAAGAACAGAATTGCTGGAGTTTATTCCTCAAGTTGTTGATGCACAAACTGGGTTTCCGGTCTTGTATGTTGTCCATGGTGTAGAGCTCTGATTTCTGAGATGTTAGCAGAGATTCAACACTGTCCAGAAATGACCAGAAAAAGTACTAATTGAATGTTGTGGCTTAATGCATGTGGATATAGTATGCATAGATGAGTTGTGTTGGCATAGTAATATGTTCAAATGTAGTTTTTTAACCGGATTGCCATTTTGTAAATCTACTGGTAGCCAGCATCATAAACAGTTACAGTGATATAAGCTGAAATATTGTTGATATACCAAATTACTAAAGTCTGTTTTTCTTTTATAATATACTGATAACCACCTTAAAAACACAGGGAGTAAAGAGAAAGCTACATGATGAATCAGTTATAAATTGTAACATAAAACCCTAATGTACATAACTTACAAGGGGAAAAAAGAAGAAAAAGTTATTTAAATGAAAAAGAAAATCTGGTAATGCCAGTTTACTTTTTTTAAGACTGTAAATCACTTCCAAGAACTGTAAAATTGTGTAAAATTTCCTGTTAGATCTATTGTAATTACAGAGTAAGGGAACTCGGTATTAACAATTAATCAAGTTTTTACTGTAGTGATTTCTGTAAAAACACTGAATCATTCGGGGTGACTGTTCATTTATTCATTCAGTAATTCTTGGTGCATGAAAGTTGTTTAGCTTTCAATTCAGTTTTCTCTGGCCTAAATCCTTGGCTCTTCATGGTGCAGTTAAATTATGATGAACTGATGTGTCCATCATGGCAGAATTTAATTGACTTCCGGCTCACAGGCTTGAAGACAGAGAAGCAAGGAAACGCGAACACAAAATTTAGGAAATGAGAAATGCCCCAGAGCTGTGTCTGGAATCACATACTGGTTTCTTCAGGACAGGTTCATGGAACACCAAATTAGAATTCAGACATCACCACAAAATGATAGACATCCGATATAGTGCAGTATAAAGAGGGATAGGGAATGACATCGGACACCACTACTGTCTTTATACATTTTTGTTCAAATCAAAAGAAATGGAATGGATTGTAAATAAGCTGTTAAATAGGAAAATATTGGTCACAAACTTTTGAATCAGACTAGTTTCTTATTAAGATTCAGAAGTCCCTGGCACATATGCACATGTGTAATCTGTATGTTTATGACAACAGGTAAAATAGTGTGCTCATTGAAGCATTGTCTGTTTCTGAATGTGGCAACTTTTTAGTTTAAAAAAAATAATATTAGATATTATATTTTAAAAGTACAGTAGTGTAATATGCAGTATATATTATGCAGCAGTTTTATTTGTTCATGTTACCTGCTGTGAAAATCATTCATGGAAACTGTTACAATAGATCCACAATGAACTTTGCATGATAAAAGTAGCTACAGGTATAAAGCATTTTATAGTTATTGTATATAGCAGTGCTGTATTGAACATGTGACAGATATGTGTCTGTATATACATTCTTAATCAACAAGGGAGCATCCATAAGCCTCAGCTATATTTATATATTTTTTCTTAGATTTTTGTGATTCTGTAAGTTTGTCATGTACACTAGGTTATCCACTGACAGGATTTTTTTTTTCATTATTATTTAAGGGTACAAACCTCAAAATCCAAATGGTGGTGCGGCACAAATGTCACCTAGAGGTATTGTGAATCTTTCTATGTTGATGTATAACAGTTTTTTATTATTTTTTTTTTTTTACATAATCATGAAATTTGTAACTTGATTTTCTGGTATTGTGAATGTTCATCTTGGAGAAATACATAGCTCAATACATCTGTTATTTTCAGATTATGGTTTGGGTCAAAATAGCAACTCGGCAAATATGAAAGGAAACGGTGAGCAAGAACAGAGTTTATACTAATATGCATGATTTTTGATGCATGATCTTTACCTTAAAAATGTATTTTAAGTATTCAGTTCTTCTCAAAAACAATGTTAATACATATACCTATATTTTTCCCTAGTGCTCTGCTTAAAACTCGTATATCTTCACTCATTAAATATTAACAATGAAATGTGATCAAATAAATCAGTTATTTTATTTTGCTTGGTTAAAGTATTTTTATATTTAGCATATTTCTGTGCATGTACAGCAGTTTTATTTGTTGTAAGTGTATTTATTTATTTTCGAAATTTGTAGCAATGATTTTACTGGATGGATGGATAATGAAAGATAATTCTTAACTTGAAAGCTTTTCTTTATTATCAGGTTATCCTGTAAACAAAGGTACAGGTAAGCCCCGCTTGAGAAAAGCAAGCACACCATGTAGTATGTAATATACAATATCATTTAGTGAATCGCATCTTAACATTTTAATCATCATACACCTGTGTTCTGTATTTCAGGTGCATATGGGAGTGCACAAAATAAGCCTGGATACGGAGGTCGTCCCCCGTATGGTATGAGTTTACTTTGCTTGTAGAATATGCACATAATCAAATAATCATACGTTTTGTCATAATCACATGTATTTGATTGTTATCAGGTGGAACAGGCATGGGAATGATGAACCAACATGCATTGAAGCAGAGGGGAGGTATGTGATCTAATGTACACCAAAACTAAAAAAAAAAAGTTTATTATAATTAAATAATAAATAAAGCATAATTGGCCATTTAGATATTTTTTCTCCTCAAACATTATTTAAAAAAATACACTTAGTATGTTCATTTACACAGTTTAGGGATTTCAAAACAACACTGAATTACAGACTTAAAAGCCTGTTCTTTTTATAGCATGTGGCTATCGCTTATTTAGACCCTTTTTTTGTGCAAAACTTTCTAATTATACTAAATTCCTGTCATTTGTCTTTCAAGGTTATGGAAATGGTAATGGTAATGGCTACAAAGCTCCATCTTATGGGGGTGAGTTTGAAGTCAAGAGTCAATGTGTTAAAGTTAGTACAGATTTGTACATAAAATGATCTTGTTAAGAATGTGTACAAGTGCCATTTTGTATTTACTTTCATTAAAATTCTTTCACTGTCTGTTTAATGTTGTCCGTAGGCTACAGCAATTTAATGGGTGCTCATCCCCAAAAAGGAGTTGGTCTAGGTGAGTCTGTTAAATATTCTTTGTATTAGTTCACCTAAAAAAATGTCTGTCCATTTTTACTTTATTTCGTTAAGAATGTGTACAAGTGCCATTTTGTATTTACTTTCATTAAAATTCTTTCACTGTCTGTTTAATGTTGTCCGTAGGCTACAGCAATTTAATGGGTGCTCATCCCCAAAAAGGAGTTGGTCTAGGTGAGTCTGTTAAATATTCTTTGTATTAGTTCACCTAAAAAAATGTCTGTCCATTTTTACTTTATTTCTTGCAATTTCTTTCAATGCAGAAATCCCAGTAATTCCAAAAAAACACTGACAGATATTCCTTGCAACTGTATTTTTAGTGTCTAAAATTCACTGTAATCACATTAAAAAGAGCAGTTTGTTGTTCAAAATTTCTCCTTTGTGTTCCACAATAGAAATAATGTCTGTTTGAAATGAAATGTAAAGATTTAGATGTTTTAGTGGATAATCTAATACAAAATCTGGCAGTTAACTATCATTTGATATTGCTAAAGAGATGTAAACATGTATAACAATCCTTTAACCACATTGGTATTTGCATTATATTTGCATTAACAGTGTTTTGTTAACTATGTTCACTAGGTTATGGTGCTGGGCCTGCAGCTGCCAAGGGACAAGGGACAAGGCCAAAGGGACAAGGCTCAATATCTGGAGGTAAATTCTCTCTGTATATAGCCTTTGTTAATGAAATCTCATTTTAAATTATTTTTATGATACTATTGCCAGATTTGAAAGAAAACATTTTATCACAGAAGTCAATACGGGGGGGGTGGGGGGAACATGAAATGTAATCCAGTTTTTCTTTCATTGTCAGGAAATGGACTGGTACTCTTAATGGACCCAAAATTAATAGTAACATATAGCTTTACTAGGAAAGTTGTAGGAAAAGTTGTAATATTATCATGTGTTCTGTTCGTTGTACAAGGATTACTTGGTTATCTAGATTTAGTTGTTGTTGATTTCAGTCAATCCTGGAATGTTTTTTGACACTAACCTCAGAGTCATAGCAACAATTCAGTAGCCTAAGCACAATTTGTTCACATAAACAGGAATAGATTGCAGGTCATTAAGCAGAGTCGTAATGAAACTCTGTCTCAAAATTAATAATAATACGGGGGGGTGGGGGGAACATGAAATGTAATCCAGTTTTTCTTTCATTGTCAGGAAATGGACTGGTACTCTTAATGGACCCAAAATTAATAGTAACATATAGCTTTACTAGGAAAGTTGTAGGAAAAGTTGTAATATTATCATGTGTTCTGTTCGTTGTACAAGGATTACTTGGTTATCTAGATTTAGTTGTTGTTGATTTCAGTCAATCCTGGAATGTTTTTTGACACTAACCTCAGAGTCATAGCAACAATTCAGTAGCCTAAGCACAATTTGTTCACATAAACAGGAATAGATTGCAGGTCATTAAGCAGAGTCATAATGAAACTCTGTCTCAAAATTAATAATCGGTGTTGGGAAAAGTTACTTTTAAAAGTAATGCATTACAATGTTGTGTTACTCCCTAAAAAAGTAACTCATTACGTTACTTAGTTACTTTTTATGGAAAGTAATGTTATGTTACTTTTAAGCTAAGACAGAACTGCTTGTGGTTTCAGCAAACCCATCACTTTATCAAAATTTCCAGTAGCCTAAGCACAATTTGTTCACATAAACAGGAATAGATTGCAGGTCATTAAGCAGAGTCATAATGAAACTCTGTCTCAAAATTAATAATCGGTGTTGGGAAAAGTTACTTTTAAAAGTAATGCATTACAATGTTGTGTTACTCCCTAAAAAAGTAACTCATTACGTTACTTAGTTACTTTTTATGGAAAGTAAAGTTATGTTACTTTTAAGCTAAGACAGAACTGCTTGTTTCAACAAACCCATCACTTTATCAAAATTTCACCATCCAGTTAGGCTCATCAAACATAACTCCTTCAAAGACAGATAGAAACCTTGGAGTTGTGATTGATGATCAGCTGAATTTCTCAGACCACATTGCTACTTGCTACGTGTACTGCGTTAGGCTAACCGAGACTTGTCATTTGCACTTATATATTGTTGCTCTTTTGTTAGTTTTGACTGCTTTTATTGTCCTCATTTGTAAGTCGCTTTGGATAAAAGCGTCTGCTAAATGTAAACGTTACTTTTTAAATCTGGGCAGGGCTTGCTTGTTTGTTTTTAATAATAAAAAAAGGTTATTTTACACATGTAAAAGCCCTTTCACACCAAAAGTGAAATCAGTATACCTCAGGCTGAAGGAAATGTAAATTCACATAGAGGGCGCAGCTCAAACAAATTGCATGAAAAATCTCCACGCAGGAGAAGAAAGTTCAACACTATTCAGCAATAACAAAAATGAAACACAAATGTGTCATTTTTGCGTATTAGTATGGTTGAATTGGATCATCAAAGATCAGTAGCAAAGGCATTGGTAATAAAATTATATTTATCTTATTTAACATATTTAATTGTTGTTGTACACACAAAGATTCTGCACTTTTTTCTCAACATGGCAACTTGAGAGCTGTCAAGTCAATACATGGGAAACAAAGTAACTGGAGTTTACTTATTTGAAAAAGTAACTCAGATATTTCCATTTAAATTAAAAAAGTAATGTTACATTACTAGTTACTTTAAAAAAAAAAGTAATCTGTTTATGTAACTCACTTTAGAAGGTCTGACAAATGTAATATAATGTATTAAGTGAGGTATGAAGAACAGGGCCCTGAATGAAAAATAATATTTAATCTGACTTACAGGATATGGCATCTCTGCAGGATACACCAATGGTGGGGCAACCAAGGCACAACAAGGTACATAATTCTATTTAGTCAACTTCCTTCTGCTACATTTTCTGTATTGTAAACTGCACTTATAAACTGATTTGGGATTGGTTTTGGTTAGGATATGGAGGATATGCTAATGGAGCTAAGCAACCTAATACAGGTAATATGCTGGATGTTTACATAAATGTGATTTCACAGTGTAATTATTACAGTGTGGATAATACTGAACTGAGGATATTACACAAATCTAAAGTATTTTTCCCTAATTAGGCTCTTCTCTTTCAAATATGGGGTATCCCAATGGTGGAACCAAGGGACCTAAACCAGGTAAACTTTTTCTGTGTGTAATGCATATGGTGTGTACTTAATTTTCAGTATAATTTGAATCTTACATGTGTTTGGTCTGATTTAAAGGATATGGTGCTAAAGCTGGACCCTCAAATGGACAAGGAGCCAAGCCTAATGGTAAATATATATATATATATATATATACACACACACGTTTGTTTGTGTGTGTGTGTATACACTTTATTAATACATCAACTGTATTTTTTGTTTAATAATCTATATTATTAGTTTAAAAGAGTTCTTTAGTAAGGGTAAAGCACCAAACTTCTGTATTGTAAGCTGGGGTAACTGGAGCATCTCTAAAGTGATTTGGGATTGGTTTTGTTCAGGATATGGAGGATATGCTAATGGAGGTGCAGTTAAACAATCTAATACAGGTAATATATTGAATGTCACCATTTTAATTTTTTTACATTTAATTCTATAGAATAATTATTACAGTGTGGATAATACTAAAGTCTGAAATAAAATGAGGGTATTACACTGGTTTAAAATATTTTTTCTTTTGTTTTTAAATTAGGCTCTTTTCTTCAAAATATGGGGTATCCCAATGGTGGACCCAAGGGACCTAAGCCAGGTAAACTTTTTGTGTAATTTGTATGTTGTGTATTTATTTTTCCTTTGTCTGATTTTGAATCTTATGTGTTGGGTTTGCATTACAGCATATGGTGCTAAAGCTGGATACTCAAATGGACAAAGAGCCATGCCTAATGGTAAATAGCATGTAATTATTACTATTATAAAACATTACTATAAAACAGTTTTTTAGTATAACATAAAACATAGTTCGCTCTAAAAATCTGTATGAAAAAGCCATGTTCGAATCACTGTAAAATATATGATATACGCACACCTTTGATTGCACATTGCTGAAGTTTATTGAAAGGAAAGATTATACAAAACAAACAATCCAGATTACACACATACATGAGACAAAACAGAATCATAAGAAATGTAAAACATGAACCCTGAAGTAAAACTGAACTAGAATTCAGGTGATACCTCTCTATGTTGGCTGGATGTATGGTCCATAGCATTAGATGTTGCAGAATCTCTTCCTAGGAACACTTTCTGGTGTTCTTTTGCTAGGACGTCCATTAGGTCTGGGTGCCAGATGATCTGGATGGTATCGATGATGTGGTCTCTAATGAGTGATGGATCCAAAATGTCCTTGGCTGCAAGCCATGATCTCACCTCTGGACCCTATCCCTACCAATACATTTGGTATTTCATCTGGTTTCCTCTCCTCTTGAATCCAGGATCTCCCAGGCTAGATAGACTCTAATTTATTATGTTCTGTCCTCCATTCTTCTAACATAGCCTTGTTGGACAAAAGATCCTTATTGCCAACATTGTAGTGTAATTCGGCAAGTGAAAGCTTCCTGGAAAAGAAAGCACAAGGTTGACGTTTAGCTGGAGTACCATATCTCTGAGAGAAAACTGCTCCAGTGCCACAATCAGAAGCATCCACTTCAAAAACATAAGGAGAACTTGGATGTTTGAGTATTGGGCCTGTCACGCAAATAGTCTTGAGTAGAAAGGTAATAAGAGATGCAATGGTGCTACAATCCCTAATGAATCTTCAGTAAAAATTTCAAGACCAAGAAATCTTTAGAGTTGCTTGACAGCTTTGGGAATTGGCCAGTCTGTGATGATTTTACTTTGGTCTGGTTTGGAAGTCTAATTTTTATTCCTTAACATACAACTGGTTAAGTAAATGAGTAAGTACTTTCTTGATATGCTGTATATGTTCTTCCTTGGACTGCAAATAAACAAGGATATCAATAATGTACACAGTGACAGAATGGTTGAGTAGATCTCTAAAGATGTTATTATTAATGGACAGCTGGAACAATGATAGGGCACTGGCTACAATGGTATTCATAAGGCACTTTCGCACCGCGTAGCTTTAGGAACTTAGTTCTAGGAACTAGCCGGCATGGTGGTTTCACTGGCTTCAATATAAGATATTTTTAGATTAATGAGAAAGAATTTGAGTTCTGAAACTTACAGAATGTTTTTTTTAAAAGTACAATGACCTCTTATATGTGAAAAGATCAAGGGAATTTTGGTTTCTCAGTTCATAAAGTATTTTTCTCTGATTAGGCTCTTCTCTTCAAAATATGGGGTATCCCAATGGTGGAGCCAAAGGACCTAAACCAGGTAAACTTTGTGTGTGTGTGTAATGGATGTGTATTTCTTTTTCCTTTGTCTAATTTGTTCATGTCATTTGAATCTTATTTGTATTGGCTCTTCTTCAAAAGGATATGGTGCTAAAGCTGGACCCTCAAATGGACAAGAGGCCAAGCCTAATGGTAAATAGCATGTGATTATTACTATTATAAAACATAATTTTTGGCACTAACATCAGGTTTAATATGCTGCATTCAAAGCCACATGATATAACTAAATGATATAAACACATCTTCGATTGCACTTGAATTGAATTCTGCATTAATACGCCAAATGTAGTGTAGCCCCAGTTTGATAATCTGTATTATTAGTTGAGGAGTTGTTTAGTAAGGGTGAAGCACTAAAGCTGAAGTAACTGGAGCACCTCTAACCTGATTTGGGATTGGTTTTGTTCAGAATATGGAGCATATCCTAATGGAGGTGCAGCTAAGAAACCTAATACTACCTGAATATATTGGATGTCACCAGGAATTTTGTATATATTTGATTCTACAGTGTAATTATTACAATATTGGAAGTACTGAATTCTGAAAAGAAGTGAGGATAGTCAAAAGTATTTTTTCTCTTATTAGGCTCTTCCCTTCAAAATATGGGATATCCCAATGGTGGAACCAAGGGCCCTAATCCAGGTAAATTGTGTGTGTGTGTGTGTGTCCTTCAATACATGGTTTGAGAACGCAAATGTGTGTAATGACTTGGGTATTACAACTTTTTGTGTACTCATAAACCAAATGGCCTTAAAAAATGTCAGAAGTTTTATGTTGGGGTTATGTTTAGGCGTAGGGTTTATTACAATATTGGAAGTACTGAATTCTGAAAAGAAGTGAGGATAGTCAAAAAGTATTGTTTCTCTTATTAGGCTCTTCACTTCAAAATATGGGGTATCCCAATGGTGGAACCAAGGGCCCTAATCCAGGTAAAGTGTGTGTGTGTCCTTGAATACATGGTTTATGAGAACACAAATGTGTGTAATGACTTGGGTATTACAACTTTTTGTGTACTCCTAAACCAAGTGGCTTTAAAAAATGTCAGAAGTTTTCTGTCGGGGTTATGTTTAGGCGTTGGGTTAGGGCATTGATTATATAGTTTTTACAGTATAAAAACATTAAACCTATGGAAAGCCCCCATAAACCACATATACAAGTGTGTGTCTGTGTGTGTGTGTGTGTGTGTGTGTGTGTGTGTGTGTGTGTGTGTGTGTGTGTGTGTGTGTGTGTGTGTGGAATGCATGGTGTGTTTTCATTTGTCTTATTTTTCCATATTTAAATCTTATCTGTTTGGTCTGATTTAAAGGATATGGTGCTAAAGCTGGACCCTCAAATGGACAAGGAGCCAAGCCTAATGGTAAATAGCATGTGATCATTACTTTTAGAAAACATATAGTTTTTGGCTTTAAAATAAGATTTGATATGCCACATACAAGTCGACTGTAAAATATAGGCTAGGATATACCATACACACATCTTTGCACATTTATTGAATTCTGTGTTAATACACCAATTGTACTGTAGCCCTATTTATATTAATAATGTTCATTATGGGTGGACAAGTTCTTTGATGGGGTAAAGCAGGGTCTGTTTTGGGTCTGTATTGTAAAGTGAAGTAACTGGAGCACCTCTGGGCTGATTTGGGATTGATTTTGTTCAGGATATGGAGGTTATGCTAACGGAGGTGTAGCTAAGCAACCTAATACAGGTAATATATTGGATATCACCAACTTTGTGAAAAGAACTAGGATATTACACTGATCTAAAATATTTTTTTCTCTTATTAGGCTCTTCACTTCAAAATATGGGGTATACCAATGGTGGAACCAAAGGCCCTAATCCAGGTAAAGTGTGTGTGTGTGTGTGTGTGCGCGCGTGCGCGTCCTTGAATACATGGTTTATGAGAACACAAATGTGTGTAATGACTTGGGTATTACAACTTTTTGTGTACTCATAAACCAAATGGCTTTAAAAAAATGTCAGAAGTTTTCTGTCGGGGTTATGTTTAGGCGTGGGGTTAGGGCATTGATTATATAGTTTTTACAGTATAAAAAAAATGTAAACCTATGGAAAGCCCCCATAAACCACGTATACAAGTGTGTGTGTGTGTGTGGAATGCATGGTGTTTTCATTTGTCTTATTTTTCCATATTTAAATCTTATCTGTTTGGTCTGATTTAAAGGATATGGTGCTAAAGCTGGACCCTCAAATGGACAAGGAGCCAAGCCTAATGGTAAATAGCATGTGATCATTACTTTTAGAAAACATATAGTTTTTGGCTTTAAAATAAGATTTGATATGCCACATACAAGTCGACTGTAAAATATAGGCTAGGATATACTTATACACACATCTTTGCACATTTATTGAATTCTGTGTTAATACACCAATTGTAGTGTAGCCCTATTTATATTAATAGTGTACATTATGGGTGGACAAGTTCTTTGATGGTGTAAAGCAGGGTCTGTATTGTAAACTGAAGTAACTGGAGCACCTCTGGGCTGATTTGAGATTGATTTTGTTCAGGATATGGAGGTTATGCTAACAGAGGTGCAGCTAAGCAACCTAATACAGGTAATATATTGGATATCACCAACTTTGTGAAAAGAACTGGGATATTACACTGGTCTAAAATGTTTTTTTTTTCTCTAATTAGGCTCTTCTCTTCAAAATATGGGGTATCCCAATGGAGGAGCCAAAGGACCTAAACCAGGTAAACATTTTTTTCTGTTATGCATACGGTACTACTTTTTCCTTTGTCTAATTTTTCCATATCATTTGAATCCTGTGTGTGTTCAGTCTTCTTCGATGAATATGGTGTTAAAGCTGGACTTCCAAAAGGGCAAGGAGCCCAGCCTAATGCTAAATATCATATGATTATAAAACATATAGTTTAGGGCTCTAAAATATAGTTTGATGATGTTAAAGCCACTGTAAAATATATGATAGATGCACACCTTTGATTGCACCTTAATTGAATTCTATATTAATACACCATCTGTAGTGTAGCCCCATTTAAATCAATAATCTATATTATTGGAGGAATTGTTTATTAGGAGTAAAACACTGAAAGTCTGTACTGTGAAAGAGCACCTCTGAACTGATTTGGGATTGGTTTTGTTCAGGATATGGAGGATATGCTAACGGAGGAGCAGCTAGGCAACCTAACACAGGTAGTACATTGGATGTCACCAGCTTTTTATCCAGCTTTAATAAATTTGTTTCTACAGTGTAATGGTTAATTCTGAATTCTGAAAGTACCTCAGGATATTACACTGGTCTGAAGTATGTTTCTCTAATTAGGCTCTTTTCAAAATATGGGGTATCCCAATGGTGGAACCAAGGGACCTAAACCAGGTAAACTTTTTTTTTCTCTGTAATGCTAATGCATGTGGTATTATTTTTTCTGTCTTATTTTTCTTATCATTTGAATCCTGTGTGTTGGGTCTTCACTGAATACGGTGCTAACGCTGGACTTTCAAAATGGACAAGGAGCCAAGCTTAATAGCAAATATCATGTTGATTACTCTTATAAGATATACAGTTTGAGGTTCTGAAATATAGTTTGATAGGCCAAGCCACTGTGAAAATTGTATGCACACCTTTGATTGCACATTAATTGAATTCTATATTGATTCACCAACTGTAGTGTAGCCCCATTTAGATGAATAATCTTTATAATTGGTGGAGTTGTTTATTAGGAGTAAAACACTAAACATCTTTATTGTAAATTTAAGTAAACGAATCACCTCTAAACTGATTTGGGGTTTTGTTCAGGATATGGAGGATATGCTAATGGAGGAGCAGCTAGGCAACCTAATACAGGTAATATATTGGATGTCATCAATTATTTTTTGTTAAATTAATTAGATTCTACAGTAAAGTGTAATTATTACATTGTGGATAATACTGAATTCTGAAAAGAACTGTGGATATTACACTTGTCTGAAGTATTTCTCTCTAATTAGGCTCTTTTTTTCAAAATATGGGTTATCCCAATGGTGGAACCAAGGGACCTAAACCAGGTAAACGTTGTGTATTTATGCGTATGGTGTGTATTTCTTTTTCCTTTGTCTTATTTTTCCATATCATTTGAATGTATGTTGGTTCTGCTTTAGGATATGGTGCTAAAGCTGGACCCTCAATTGGACAAGGAGCCAAGCCTGGTAAATAGCATGTGATTATTACTATTATAAAACATATATGTGTCCTTGGACAACAAAAACAGTCATAAGTAGCATGGGTATATTTGAAGCGTTAGCCAACAATCGATTATATTGATTATTCTTTTATGGCACAAATCATTAGGATATTAAGAAAAAGATCATGTTCCATGAAGATATTTTATAAATTTCCTACCATAAATATATAAAAATTCTATATGCATTGCTAAGAACTTCATTTGGACAACTTTAAAGGCGATTTTCTCAATATTTGGATTTTTTTGCACCCTCAGATTCCAGATTTTCAAATAGTTGTATCACAGGCAAATCTTGTCCTAGCCTAATAAACCATACATCAATGGAAAGCTGAGTTACTCGTATTTAGCTTTCAGATTTTATGACTGGTTTTGTGGTCCGGGGTCACTTATTGACTATAAAAACAGTTTGAATAAGCTATTTTCAAAGTGTACGATAAAATGTACGATATACACACTCCGTTGATTGCATGTTAATTGATTTTTTTTAATACTCCAATTAGGGCTGCACGATTAATCGAATGCGATTGTCATACACATTTTGTTAGTAAAGCCGGTTCTGTAATCAGCAGGAAATCATCATCACGTGCTTTCAGATGGAGCAGAATTTACTACACATAGCCGTAGTTCACTGACAAGTTACGCAAAAAATTGTAGACGATTTTATTGCGCGATTATGAAATCGAAAAAATTGTTCACGATAATGACAGCTGTTTGCATAGCATTCTCAGTGAACTACAGCTCTGTGTAGTAAATGCTGCTCCATCTGAAAGCATGTGAAGATTTAATAACATATTTTTACTCCAAACTCACTTCATAACATCAGTCGCGTGTTTGAAATAAATTCTTCTGTGAGATGATGTGGCTTCTTAAACAGAATAAGGCACGCAACATATTTCATAGTATTTAAGCAGTGATAAAGACATTGCATTATAAATATACTTTATTTTAATGAAAATTATAATAAGAACTCAGATAAACCGTATATTGCCGTAGTCGTGTGTTTATTAGTCACGTTGAATCAATGAAAGCAGTTGAATCTTCTGTTTATTCAGCTGCAGCGATAGGAGTTTCTTCTGCGAGGCGTATTTGGAGTTTCAGCACGAGATCGCCCTCTGGCCTTTGGGTGGAGATTTACTGCTGATCACAGAACCGTGCTTCACTGAAAGATACGCATGACAATCGCAGCTTCTGTCGAATTCCATTTCGATTTATCGTGCAGCCCTAACTCCAATTGTAGTGTAGCCCCATTTAGATTAATAAACAATGTTACTAGTGTAGGAGTTGATTATTAGCAGTAAAGCAGGTCTGTAGGCACCTCTTGTGTCCGTTGTGATTTTTAATGTTTTGCCTTTTTTCCAGTGTGTAGAATTGTACAGTTCATTTTTGGATAGCTGCATTAGGTCCAGTTTTAAATAAACTCTACATCATCTAAAGTAAAACCTTCAGTCATATCTACACTCTTATGATCTATAGGTTACGGTGTTCCTGGACATATGTCAGAAGGACCTTATAAAGCAGCTAATTCAGGTAAATCATTATTATTGAGAGTACTTTAAGTAATTTTATCTACTACTACCACATGACACGGATAATTGTAGTTTTATAACCTGTCATACATGTATGTCTCTGCATGTGAATTTGCCATATTGAGTTGTGTAAGTGTGTAGTAAAACTGCTTTGGCTTCTAGGATATATGCCTGTAACAGCTGGGAAAGAGGGTGTTCCCAGTAGAAAAGGACCTAAAGGGGAGATTTTAAGCCCTGAAGCATCAAGTCATCTCCCACTAACATCTAACACCAAGGGTGTTTTAACACTAGCTGAGCGTGTGCCAAATACAGGATTGCTTCCAGAACAAACTAGAGATCTTCCACCAGTCCTGCAACAAACGAAAGGACAAAATCTTAATGCACCACTTCAACAGGGCAAAGACCCCAACTCTATGGGACCTCAGCCTGCTCCAAAGCCATTTATGCAAGGTCCAGGATTTTATAAACCTAGTAAAGCTTATAAACCACCCACACCTGTAATTCCACAAAACAAAGCTTCAAGGCCAGCTGCACCAGCAATCCCTCAAGCAATTCCTGCACCAGAATCAGCTCCCATTCCTCAGACGAGTTATCCTCAAACATCACAGACAGCTGCACTAGAGCAGGGACAAGTGCTGTCACAGGAACAAACCGTCACTCCAGTGATACCACAGCCAATTACACCACAAGGCAGTATTTTTTCACAGGTGCCTCTGGTGCCAAATGCAGCTGTTCCTCAAATAACTCCAGAGATGCAACAAACCAAGATTCAGTCAAACCCAGCTTTGCCTCAAATGAAGAATCCATCAACAACAAATCCTGGTAAACCTCTATAGTACTGATTTAGTACAATGTGCTGATTTACCTTCCACCACTAAAGTGCAACAACAGATCTTTAAAGATTTGACTGCACTCTTTAAAAATAAATAAATAAATCTGCTTTGAAAAGTTTCATAGATCTTAAAGGTTCTTTGTGGAACCACAGATGGAAATAAAAAAGCTTTATTTTTAAGAGTGTAGAGAGATTTAATAATAAAAAAAAAAACTGAATTTATTTTGGAAGCCTTTTACAAACAATATGCTTTGTAATACATTCTGCAAGTGGGTCTTCACTTCACATTTTAACAACTCTGTTAGTGATATTAGGGCATCTTCCATTTATAAGTCAGTTTTAGTTTTATTTATAACTTGTTTGTGAGTAATAAACCAAAGTTTTGGTTTATTACAAAATATTTATATGTTGAAATTTATATATTATTATGTTTTAGATTGTGGACCTGGTGGACGACCTAATGGACAATGGGTCAAACTTCCAAGTCCTGGTGAGCTCTAATTATTTTCCACTTGTTTGTTGTCATATAAATGATTTAAAAAACTGACCAAACTCATGGGATGCTTACCAAAAGCTTGATGTTTAAAAAGCACAATTAAATATAAATAAGAGAATTTTAAAGTTTAGTCTTTTAGCTTTGACTCCTTAATTTTTATGAAGACAGCAGTCAGACTAAAACTAAAAATGTGGTTTGCAGGTTCAGGGTACCCCAACGGAAAAGGAGAAGTGTCATCTCAACCAGGTACATTAAAATAAATATTAACTGTGCATCCATACATCCAGTACATAGCATTTTATTACAAAGGATACAACGTTACTTTGGCG